CCACGCGTGCTTGACCTATTACAACTTTTGTTTACTGGAAGGCTTGCTCTCCAGTTTTGTGTTGCTAAGCGGTATCCAAGCACGTGACCACTAGCTGCAAAGGGCCTATTGGACAATGATTTTGATAATCAAAACGACATAGTAAAGTTTTAACCGTACTGATTTATTTCCGGCAGACATGTTTCGGCGTCCTTACGCCATCATGCAGTGTGATAAAATAGTCCTTACAAATGCTTACCAGGAGCGTGGTCCTGATTTTCTTGTTTTAGAGAGCTATCTGGTGGTGAATCCCCCCCCACTCTCTCTCTCTCTCTCTCTCTTCCTCCGCCTCACTCAGGGACTTGCTAAAACGCTCAATACTAGGTGCACTTTGTCACGCCTGCGGCAACGAAACTGCGCCAAAAACAAAATAAAACGTCGAGATAACTAGCTAAAAACTAGTGTGAGCTGCGTCGGTGTTTCTAATGAAGCAGTAATGATAAGAGGGTAAATTATACACCGTGAAAAGATGAAAAACCTTACTGATGTTTTGTCGACGAAGGACTAGCGTCCGAAACATCAGTAAGTTTTTCGGCATCTTTTCACGGTGTATAATTTACCCTTTTATCATTACTAAAATAAAACGTCCTTGTGTTACGAAAATAGCACGTAAAAAGCCAGTCGCTAACAAAACTGTGGCCCTCTTTCCATGATTAAATTGAAAGTAGAGCTTAAAACCACGCAATTCAGTTTTAAAAAAAGGAAAACGGCGAAACACTGCACACTGACTGCAATGAACGCGGCGAAGTCTGTGAGAAAAAAACAATCRAACTAAATCGAAGCATCAATTGAAGTAGGACACACATCTGCCTTTATAAAATTCAATTTATTTGCTTGAAGTTTGTTTTCGTTTTACAGTAACAGAACTTAATGAGATGCACAAAGGTATCTTTAATGCAATCAGCTTGGACTCCAATAGAGTCGAGTCTACTTATCTCTCCATCAATAGACGCAACACCCCCATTCAAACTAATGCTTACTTCATAAGTAGCATTGTTTGGCTTGGTAGTAAATTGGATTTGATACAACGTGTCTTTGACCATCGTATTTACGGCCTTCGCAGCAAGCTTCGCGCCACAGGAATCACATTCCTTGTTCTTGAAGGAGAACTTAAACGTTTGTACTGTATGGCTAGGCATCTCTCGAGAAACTTGTACAACTTGCTTTAAGGACAAGGGAAGGCATAGCTTAGACGTGGTTGACGTATCATTATTTTGATCATTGATAGACGACACCGCAAACGTAGCTAGCTCCCTGACCACTTCATCCTTTACAGATACTTTTTCCATGACCAGACAAGGGCACCAATGATCGCGTACACCAACATTGCCACAGGTTCTTTTATAAGGATCGATCTTAGAAAGTAAGCTTTGGCCTGTCATAACGTACTTTGGTGCCCATGGGTAACTCAAAGTATTTTTAAGAGTTGCGTAAATATCAAAGGGTGAAGTCAAAAGCCTTGAATTAAACTTTAAATTGTTGTACAACCTTCTGTGTTGCCTCGTGAACCATTTTGGCACCGAAATTGAGAAATGCGGCAACCTTTCTTCGAGCTTTCCTTGCAACGTCTGTTTTCTCATGCCTCCAAATCTGTAACCATGGTCACCAAAAATAAAAAGAAAGGTGTTGTCCAAGTAGGATTCCTTTGTCATTGTTTGAAGTAGATTCAAGAGATCTCCGTCAGCATAGGTTATGGCATTCGGGTCTCTGTGCACGAGATTCGAAAAGTTCAGCAACGAGAATTTTGGATTTTTCTTGTACGTTCTGAACAAGCTCAACAAATAGTTCAAAGTAAGGTTATGAATAGCTTGGTTACCAGTGCAGTGCACTTTTTTAACATAATTCTCTGCTTCAAGCCAGAAATATCTACTATAGTGGTCTGTCGGTGGATCGCGAAAGCCCATCAATCGATAATTAAACGCTCCGACTGCCGGAGAATCTTCGGAGTACATGGTGACATAGCCCTGCTTCGAGTATTCTTTAAAAATCCACCGCCAGTTGTCAACTGGCTTTGCATTGCGAAACGCTTTTCTGCTTTCTGGTTGATGATGTTCTGGAATTCCTGTGAGTATAGCTGATAGTTGAGCAGTTGTTCCATCTCCAACTATTGTTTGACCTAAACAGGACAAAAAGGTATGAAGAGGCGCCCATTACTAGGAGTGTCCATGCAAGATGTAAACCATTAATCAAAAATGAAACGATTTAAAGAAAAAACAAATCTGACATCGATAGCGCAGCGCACTGATTCTAAAAATAGCTTAAAGATTCGGACAAACCGTTGCATTCTGTTTAACCGCTACTAGGATTATACGAACCGATTTTATTATTTTTACTTAAAGTTACAATAATAACCCATGTAAACTAAGATCAACTGCGATCGGCTGTGAAAATTATTTGCTGAAAGAAAACTTGTAAGCTTGTTTGTCCGAATTTCGCCTTTGTCTTCGTTTTATGACGTCACGGTTGCGCTGCGCTATTCTTGCTTTTAATCAACCTTTATTGTTTTACTTTAGTTTTGCTTGCTTTTTGCTCTTGCCTTTTTGTTATCCTTTTGTATGTTTTTGTTTTTAGTTTACATTTCCTGTGATTTGGTGTGTTTTGTTGTTGATTTWAAAAAAATTTTTTTTCGTTCGTTCGTTCGTTCGTTTTCGTTTTTGATTTTGATTTTTTATCATATGTGTTGTCATAAACGTAATACCCACCATTCAAGAAGACAGTATTCAAGGTCTCTTTCAAGTATTTGTACGTTCTAGGCATTTTCCGTATGAAGTTTGCAGCAGAAGTCGAATCAAACATGATCATCACAATATCCACAGGGATCCCAGCAGGGATAATCTTTCTCTCCCCAACTTCTTTCTTAAAGTTCGTTTGCATATGAGTTTCTATAACATCGTCTGCTGTTCCGCCATTTTTGATTTCAACTCGTATAAAATCAGTGTTTACGGTTACTTCTCCCTTAAATTGCGTTCCTAGAAAGAGTAAGTAAATTGAATGAAATAGCTTATTAATAATAATTTGATATTCAATTTATGGGAGGATACTTAATTCAAAGAAAAATAAATGTAATACAGTTCTATCCCATAATATATAACTCGCTTACAAGTCAGAGTCACGTGTTTATTTGATTGTCCGCCATATTGGATGATCATTTACGGATAAGCTCAAAGTTCAAAGGTTCTGTTTAAATTTAAAAATTCATAGTTTGAGTCTTCTAAGTTTCTATTCTCATAAAATGAAGAAAAGAAAAAATGGAAGACAATGAAGAAGGATAGGAAGAGTAAAACACAAGAAAGAAAGAAAG